ACGGAGTTTACATCAAGATACTTGAAATGAGAACAGACGAAATTTTTTTTTTATAAGTGTCGAATTATTTACAAATGCATGGTACGATTTTAAATACAAAAAAACACGTTTCTTCGTTCTCTTGTATCAAGAAGATTCTTGGCAGCGTTGCATGTAACGCATTAAATAAAACTTATTATATAATAGTATGTTATTTAAATTATTTTTTACAGATTCTCTTTGTACATCATTTCTACATTGTAGGAAACTCTATACTTATGAAATACTTAGGTAGCAACAGCCACCACGTCTTTGGTCCGTTTTTTTTATGAGAAGATATCGTTTTAAAGACATTGTGACAATATCAATTTATGTACAAAATTTTACGAAATACGTAGTAGTCGTAGAAACACAATACAAATAAAGATACAACGCAATTTACATTTATAAAATTAAGAATATACAATGTCTATTAATCCGATATCCTTTTTTTTGCTATAACATCAATATATACTTCCTAAAAGGAAAATTCGCAGAACTATGTTCCTTCCGAATTTCGTATATCTTGAAATATGTCTATTAAATTGTTTACACCTATCAAGTATCCATCTTCATGGTTTCCTACTTTCCATTCGGCATCATGACGAATCCTTGGTAAATGTTGAGGCAGAGGTAATGTTTTTGCAAAATCAATCATCCAAATACCGGCATTTTTGGTGTCATGAACAAACAACAAACTAGATCCAACGACCTCATGTGAAGCAAAAAACGGTGATGCTTTCAGTGTGGCCCTAATCGCTTTTAAACGTTGAATATATTTGGATACTGCATGCGGATAGCCTTCGACAAAACGCCTTAATGCCTCCGTAACCTAATACAATTTTAAAATAAGATTATATTCGATTTATATTAAATTTGATTTATGCTTAACGAACCTGTTCTCGAGTTCTCGTCGTTTTAAAATCTTTTGACGAGCCTCCGTGTGCAAGTTTAATACCTTCCACACGGAAACCTAATGTTGCTGTACTAGAGATCGTTTCACGCCAAACCATATACCTTGGTTTTGTTACTCCTTGCACACGACGTTCCTCAGCACTCGGTGCGGTTGGATCTACTTGTACCATTTTTTCATACATATCTTTTCGTAACTGCAACGACAAATCACAAATTTTTTGTTTCAAAACAAATGTTAGATAAAAATTAGATAATCATTAAAGTTTTATTTTATCAATTGAATTTTAATGATACATAATCTTGTTATTATCTATTAATTGATATTAAATATTACCTTAGGTCTTTCCTTTGCTTTTGCAAGCTCTGATTCTAGATATGTCCTAACTCCAACTTTACAGTCCATCACACAAGGATGTTCAAAATCTCCAAGAAGATCCTGCAGTTGCAAGTAAGAGGATACTACGGTCTTTTTGATTACAGAATCGCTAGAACCATCTTTCTGATGAGTTTCTTCTGAATTAGTTTCTTCGACGTTACCTTCTTCTACATCTTTTACATCTAAAACACCTTTGAATTCTGGAACGTACGGCCTTAATATGTCATTCATTAACAAACGAAAACAAGCTTCTTCCTGAGGGCAAAGCTTTTTTAAAATTGTCCCTGGAGTAGGTCCTGCTCTGAAATTCCCCTGATGACCTGCTAATTGCACCTAAAATTACATGTTATAATATCAAATTATAAATGTTACTTTATTTATATATAGTTGTTTGTTTAAAATTAATTGTTTTATTATTATTTAAAATGTAGTTATATTAAATTATAAAATTAATAATAATTTTAATTAATAATTATAAGATAGTATTTAAAAATTTTGAGAAATTTTTAATTGATTTTGAATTTAGTTTAAAATAAAAAACTTATATACCCATGGATATCGTTGTTTCTTGTAGGTTTGAAAAAAGGGTGTCCAATGGACAATGTTTCTAAGTTTTCTCCATCCTGATGACTGAAAAAAATTTAAGAACAATTATCATTAAAATAAATCCTATTATCTTTTTCGTTATTGGTATCATTATTAATAATTATTTACGGAAAATAATAATTTTAAGAAACTTTATTGCTTTATAAAAAAATATATTTATTTTAAATTTTTCTTAAAGAAATTTATTTTAAAGATCATTCTTTCCCGTTGTTACCTTCGGGATCTTTTTTTCGTTCGATTTATCCGTGTAATCTGAATCCCATTCAGAACTTAAATCATCACCACTACTGCCTTCTCCCCATTCCAAATTAATTTGAGGAACTTCCAACAACCTTAAATATTGTTGGTATCCTGAACAATTTTCCAAGCAAACTTCTTCTCTATTACTCTGATATTTAGAACATTTATCACACTTGAGATTTCTTTTATAACTGTCAATTCTATCATTTCTTAATATTTTTACATTATCTAAACTCTTCTTTCTTCTTTTCTTTTCTTCAAACTTCAAACAAACATTACTTTTTTCTTTATTCTCACATTCAAATAAATCATTTCGCAGTCTATCAACTATGGAATTTTCTTCTTTTTTACAATTATCGTCTATTTCTTTAGAATTATCAGATTCAATTTCCAATTGATTTAATTTTTCAGAATCCTGATTACAATGATGATTATTCTTGGATTTTTCTTTATTGTGATCCTGAGGTTGTGAAGCTAATAATGATGGTGATGGGCTTCTGGAGGAAGATGGCGAGCGACGATCGACGATACTCGAGGAAAATCTCCTCGAATACCTTCTGCTTCTCGACCTAATGATCTTTCTTTGGCTCAACGATTTTCTGTCGCATTCATCCTTGTCCACACAATCTTCCAATGATTTTGTGCAAATCACTATTTTCGGTATCGTTATTCTGTCATAAGTCTTCTGCATCTTGGACTCGATTAATAATAACAAGATATATACTTAACAAACTGAAAATCAATTATTTAACGAAGATCTAGCGTGAGAAAGATAATTTCGAAAATAAATTGAATGATTTTTATTCATTATTATAATATTGAATGTAAGCAACATGTCCTCGTATCCCAAATTGGTTGCTAATGAACCACGCATGAATAAAAATTCTCAAAGGCTTTCACGCTTTCGTTTGAAGAAAAATAAAATTATTATCTTTCTTTTCTTTTCGAATTACATGATTCTTCCAAATATTTATTTACCTTTTAGAATTCTCTTTCAAAAATTTTCTTTGTAAAAATAATTTCAAATTTTTTCAAAATTTCTTTTACAATTTCTTTTTTAATTTTTTTTAAAACAATGATATAATTTTCTTCAAAATTTTTCCGCGAAAAATTTTCAGGATTCTTTTCAGAAATTCTCTCAAGAAAAATATATTATTCTTTTTGAAAAAATTCTTTCCATCTCAAGATTTCACTGACAAAAAAATAGCGTGCCTCCCGGTGATTATTACCAATAATCGTCGAAACACTTTCCCTCTTTTTGGCCAGCCTTTATTCCACGAACGCGGCCACTATCATTATTCACCTGGCAAGAAGAAGAAGAAAGAGTCGTTCCACGCGGCTCTCGTGTAATTGGTAAGCGGTTCGACACCAGTTAATTATCTTAATGACGAGTTGCGACCGAATCGAGACACCTGGATCGACTGGTAGCCGTCCACCCACGTCGAGGTCTCTTCCTCGGGCCGAAGGAAGGCAAGCTTGGAAAGCGAACCGACGCGTGTGCCACTTCTTTTATTCCCTCGTCACGTGCTCCACGATTGTTACGAATAATTTCTCTCTAATATACTTGTTATATATTGATCATCTCAAATCACTTTGATTTTTATTTAATTTCTTATTTTTTTTTTTTTTATATTTTATATTTTATACCAATGAGAAAATAAAAGATTGATCTTTAGAACAATGAAAGAGTATTTATTTTTTTTTAATATAATGCCTATCTTGTTTTTTAGATAAGAATGGCAATTAAAATCTATTTAGAATGAAACTTTATACAAATTAAAGAAATTATTTTGATCCTCAAAAATTCTTTCCTTGTCTTCCTCTTTCTTCTTCATGTCTTTTTTTTTCATACGACTTCTTCTATTTATTTTATTAAATCACTAATTTAACAATTCACTATGTTTTGGTTTAAAAATATATACACAGATTCATTTCCAATTTTAAGATTTTCAAATCGCACTAGAAAGTCCACTTTCAATTTTATCAATCAAATCAAAGAGGCAGAATTTTATAATAATAACTGTTCAATCGCTACAGAGATGAATCACCGCACAGTTACATTTTTTGGATTTCGATGCGTCTTCCGTGTAATCGTCGCCGTTGTTTACGTTCCACGATCGCTCGATTACGTAATATCGCTTAAAAGCAAACGTGACGTTTTCCAGTCGCGATACATCCACACACGTCCGCCCAAGCGTTCCGCTTCGAATTCCTCGCGTAGTTTGCGTGCTTCTTGCGACCTCTGTCTTTAAAAAAATTATACAATTGCATGAATGGATCAATTGATATCTAAGAAAAATCAAATTTAATTTTTTCTCGAATTTAATTTAGGATATGTTATTAAATTTGTTCAAATTGAAATTTCTAATATTTAAATTTTTCTTATTTTTCACTTTCGATCAAAAATCGAATTAGCTATTCGTGCTTTTAATTTTTTTCAAAGATTAATCGTAAATCGAAATAAAATAAATAGTGTTCATTGTTCACTACTGGCTTTCTTGGTTAATTGCTCAAACAACATACATGGGATACACGTGCTTCACTTCTATCAGTTGTTCTTACGTAAGGGGAAACTTGGACAATATTTCAAGATTATCCCAACGATAATTGTTCTATGTGGTGAATGTTATCGCGTGTTTACTTTAAGGGATTTCCGTTTGTGGTTTGTGGCACATATAATTGTTACTATTTTCTCACGAATATATGACGCAACAATTCTTCGATAATTTCTTCTTATTCTAAACATTTAATTCAATTTATTTCTTGATTTTTTTGCGAATCACAAACTTGCAGATTAACTATTTTAAAGTTGATTCGAGCATAGAAGACGATTGTCGTTAGAAATATCTCACTTCAAATTTCTTCTTTCAGAGAAGTTTCACCAATTTCCACCACTTTTTAATAATTTGACACTTCTTTCAACACGATAAATCACAATTATCTCAAATTTCCTTTTCTAACAGGTTTCCAAATCTCTTTTCATTTCCAACAGCAATACCTACAACCAATTGTTATTTTACGTGTAAATTTGATCATTGAACAGAAGATCGTTGTGATATTTATAGTCTGAATATTTAATGAAATCACAATAGATAAGAATGACAAATTTTACTCCCTGATGTTTATAAACTGGTTACTTAGACGAGTTAAGTAACTTTTTCCAAGACACAAATTAAACACGATTCGAGGATAACGCAGTCGACTCGACAACGATCGAAATGCGTCATCGACTAATTAACTGACGCTTGCTAGCGTCATTAGCATAATTATCAGGAGTGGACAAAACGTTGGGGCGATTCAGAGGTCGGCGGGCCTCCACGGTTGACCGGAAGTCGATGTTCCTCGCGGTGTTTTGCGTTTTAATGATATTTTTAATGATTTAAAATAGCATGTGTGTTCATAAATCATTCAAATATATTCATATGTATGTCAAATATATTCATATTTATATAAATCATATATGGAAGAACAAGCTCGACTCGTGATAATTCTTATTTTATTCAGACGATTTCAGAATTAATAATCCTTTTTGATTTTCTTTCAAAAAGTATCTCGATTACATTGCATTAGAGTGTATAACGTAAAAACATGTAGTTTTTACATCTTGCAGGAAGTTAAAATTTTCCAAGCATATACAAAAAAAAAAAAA